CTCTAAACGCTGAAGGAGCTTTTGCTACGCCATGATGCAGGTCATCCATTGACTTTGCAGGTAAACTAGCTGCTTTAGGTGTGAACGTAGCTTTATGTTGTTGTTGTTAGCTCGTGTCAGGAGCACTCGTGTTTTGTTTTGAAGGTGTGGTTTGGAGGGGCGGTCTGAAGGGAGAGGCATGGTTCTGTATGTTCAAAAATATAGCTTGCTGGAACCGTTTTTCCAAGATCTCCTACGACCTTTCGGCCAAAATAAAGCAATTTGTTGGTGCTGAAAATGGTAGAATTCTCTTAAGACCAAAACTCAAGGCACTGCAGACGATTCACTTCATTTGTCCTCTGGAAGGGAAAAAACATTTATTGACAAGTTGAATTCCAACAGCTGAACAAATGATAAAATACAGCGCTCACATCTCAAAAGATATTTTCCCTTGAAATGCCGCCGCCATCTTAGGCTGTATTTATACCTTCCTTGTAGCATTGTGTGAATTGATGTGGACGGCCAACTGCTACTGGAATGTGTGTGGTGTTTTGGCATTACGGCCGGAAAAGGAAAAAGATGTTATTGAAAAGATTCCCTGGATAATAAATAGTTAATTCCTGCATAGGTGATATACTGAGCGTATCACTAATTATGGAAAAAACAGGCCTTTTTACTGAGCCACAAATAAGACCTAAATGTCAGAACTTCTGCACATCGAAGATGTTTCTTCCCAGAACTGACTTTGTTTTTTTGTATTTTTGTTGTTTTGCAGAATCACCTTAAAGTGTGTGACCGATCACTGGATGAAAAACAATGAAGGTAAACCTGATCTGGGAGTTAATGCTTGTGTAACTAAATGCTTCTTTACTAACAGTTTCATCCTTTTAGTGAAGTCTGTTTCTCCAGAGAAGCAAACCGCTCCATTCAGAGTATCAGCACCAACTGTTGGAGCCAAATACTGCAGATAGCTGTTTATCATAAGGCTGTATTTCTACGGAAGCCCAGAGGGGTCACGTCCATCAGATACTTTTTCACTGTGGTTTTCTGGAGAAAATGAGTTAATTTTTTTCATCATCTTAAGATAACCAAAGCCTTTTTCTCATCATAACGAGGTGATTGGTGTTAAAACTGATTCCATCCTTCAATCCTACAACAGCGGGAGACGATTTATCAGTCATGGCCGCCTGTGTGTAACTTTTAACGAGGCGACGTTGTTGGTTTGATGATTTGCTTCCACTTCTGCTTCATCAGCAGTCAGCCCTATGCCTCCAGGTGTTTCTAAACAGCCCTAGTGTTACGCCTGGAACAGCTATAAGATGCATTAACCCCCAAAATGAGTCCAGATTAAAGATTTTCATTTTAAAACAGCCAGATTAGTTTCTGTAATCCATGGAATCCAATCAACCACCACCTGACTATGAGGGAAAAGAAAAAGGAAACTAAAAAACGGATCACGGTACCTTGACTGCACAACTATGGGACCCACAGGCACGGATGGACTGGGAATCCTGGGCTGTTGGCCAGCCTCATTCATTTCTCACACAGGTTAATCAGCTCGTTATCTCAGGAAATCAATCACTGTTTTCTCGTGATAACGAGATAATTATCTCGAGAAAACAATTAACTGTTTAACCGTGATAACGCACAGCTGATATTTCTCTCCAGGATGGAGTCACAGCCAAACAGGAACAGACCAGATGAAGCTACTATGAGAAAAAGCAGAGAGAGCAGAACGTTAGAGATTGAACTAACAGATTCTGCAGAGTGGGAGAATAGAGATAGAATGAAGCAGAATGATGAAAAAGGGGTCCCTATGTCCTCCAGCAGTCTAAGCCTATAACAGCAGAACTATAGAGATAGATCAGGATAACCTGAGCCACTCTAACTAGAAGCTTTATCAGAAAGGAAAGTTTTAAGCCTAGCCTTAAAAGTAGACAGGGTGTCTGCCTCACGGACTAAAACTGGTAGTTGGTTCCACAGGAGAGGAGCCTGAGAACTAAAAGATCTGCCTCCCATTCTACTTTTAGAAATTCTAGGAACCACTAGTAAACCTGCAGATTGAGAGCGAAGTGCTCTGTTAGGAACATAAGGAACAATCAGATCTCTGATATCAGATGGAGCTTGGCCATTTAAGGCTTTATATGTGAGAAGGAGGATTTTAAATTCTATTCTGGATTTAACAGGAAGCCAATGAAGAGAAGCCAGGATAGGAGAGATATGATCTCTCTTTTTCATCTAATTTAAGAAGATTTCTTGCATGTAACATTGCTTATACCAGCTGACATGATAAAGAAGGAAGAACTAAGCTGATTGCAATAAACCAATTAAAACCTGTATGACTGATCTGTGGTCTGCACTAGTTTGCCTCTATTTCCGCTTGATGGAAAAACATCTAATCAGAATTTTTACACTGAAGATGTGCATGAAATTTAGATGGAAACAGATTTAATGGCTCCAAGTTAAATAGACATTGATACCTGGACTCCCATTGAAGTGAAAGAAACCTCCAGCAGAGCCAGACCCTGGCTCAGAGTGACCCACTGTTGTCCCTCTGACCCGCATGAATGGGAGGAAGACAACGGTCAAACATTTCTAAAAATGATTAGCAATGCAAATAAATGTGGATCCAATAAAAAAAAAGCAAAAAACAAAATTACATTTTCAAAACCTTCTTTCCAGTGTTTGTCAATGAAGTTTTACATGAATTAGAAGCTGAAATCCTGTTTAAACAGCTTAACTTACTCTAACTTGAAGTAAAGGTTAAAAAAAAAATACTTTTCTTTAATCTTCGTTTCAGGAGGAGGATCTGTGTCCTGAGATGAAGGACTGGACTAAACATCAAGTGAAAGAATGGGTGCTACAGCTGGAGAACGTAGAGGAATCTGCTGCAGATATTCTGCTCCAACAAGACATCAATGGAGCCAGTCTTTTGCTGCTAGATACCCAGGACCTGACCAAAATGGGGCTCACTTTTGGACCAGCTAAACTTATCATTCATGCAAGGGATGAGGTGATCAACTTAAAGAGCAAGAAGCCAACAGGTTCCTCCAGCAAGCCTGGAAAACCCAGCAAACCGTATCCGTTCTGCAGATACCACGATACATTCAGATATGTGGAAGGCAGCATCCTAGATGTCACTGAATCAGGCGCCTCGGACTTGATTGAGCCCTGCCATGAATATAAAGCTTTTATAAATGCCCCTGATGATGAAACTAGAATGACCAAGTTCACCTCTGAGGTCATCCGCTTTGCAGCCGCCTGCATGAATAGCCGCACCAATGGTACCATCCATTTTGGAATAGGAGACAAGCCAGACTTTGTGCATGGGCAGGTTTTGGGAGTGGCAGTTGGTGACAAAGAGGCGTACGCCAACGGCCAAAAATCAGCCATTGATGCTTTCTTTGAACATAAACACAAACATACAGCTGAGATGTGCATTAAACCACCAAGATTTGTTGAGGTTCTGAACAGAAATGCAACATCTGCTGATAAGTGTGTGATCGAAGTGGACATCGAGCCTCAGTTTGCCATCTGTGAGGAAAACGTCTTCCACACCTACAACACAAAGAAAGGCAAGAAGAAGAGCAAAGAAACGGAATCAAAGTCTTTCTACATCAGAGACGGAGGTAGCAGCAAGGACCTTCTTGCATCAGACACGTCTTCCAAGGAGTACGAGCGGTTTGTTCACCACATGGCCAACGAACTGTCAAAGCTCCGCAAGAACGCAGAGGAGAAGCACTTTAAAAGGATCAAAAACACAACTCAAGGCTCCAGGTTAGCTCACATGATAACAGGCGGAACATTGTCATTGGATAAGTCCCACTTTGAACGTTATGTCATTGTGACAAACAAATCTCACCCAAGCCATTTTGATCATCTGAGCTTTCTCATAGAGCTTGACCCAACAGCTGTTTTAGACTTCGATCCTGAGTCAGCTAAAAATGGATTACTGACTTACTTTGACCAGCAGAGCACAGTGAGCCCACATTTACCAGCAAAATATAAAATCACAGAGGGGGTTGAAGACATAGCTAACAAGTTAAAGTTAACCCGAAACACCAGCTGGGTGTTTTGCAATGGAGGCTTTGAGCTGGAGAGCCCCTCAGATGTTGACCAGTGGTTGATGGAAAAGGGGGCCTCGGTTCGAAATGTGATTTCTTTCTTGTGCCGAAAAGAAGTGCTTCCAAACAAGAGGTTCCTGGTCATTTTCCTGCTGTTGTCAACAGTGAGGGAGAGAATGGACCCCCTCGTCGAGACCTTCAGCACATTCTGGCAGGAGCTCCGAGGCACAGACCAAATCCTCTGTATATGTGAAAATGAAAATGCGTTTACTTCATGGAAGGATCTCATCGAGGCTCGGTGTGGCATTGACATCTCAGGCAGATGTATATACGAGCTCAGCTTTGCTGAAGTCAATGGGACCATACTTAGTCTCTGGTCCAAAAACCGCAGAGCAATCCGGTTTCTACCATGCGGAGGTGAAAGCAAGGTGCCTCTTGAGAAAAAGTTTGAGCGAAGCCTGAATACCTTAGAGGTACTCTGTGTGAACCAGTGCGAAGGAGGAAATGAAGACATGGTTACCATAGAGGAGAACTTCTACAAAGGTGGAAATGTCTCATGGTGGAATTTCTATTTCTCTGAGCAGCCTGGATCAACACCATTCATCAAGCGAGACAAGTTTGACTACATCATGAAAACTTTTATTCCAGAACTATGCTCCCTAACAAAGGCCTGTGTGCTGCTCAATCTTCTCCATGTACCTGGATGTGGTGGAACCACATTGGCCATGCATTTGCTGTGGGCTCTTCGGGACAAATTTCGCTGTGCCGTCCTCAGGAAGAAATCTGAGTTTGCAGACGTGGCTGATCAAGTGAGGAAACTTTTAACGTATTCCTATGATGAACAAACACCGAGGATCCCCGTTCTGCTGATGATAGATGACTTTGATGACATGGAGAAGGTTTATGACTTACAGCAGATCATTGAGAAGGAGTGCTCCCTGTCCGGAAAGGTAATCCTCCTGAACTGTATGAGATCAGAGTCGACTGAGGTGTCAGAGCAAACTGCAGACACCGTTTTCATTGGGAACAGTCTCTCTGAGAAGGAACTGAAGATGTTTGAAGAAAAACTTAAAGAAATAGAAAAAACACACAAGAACTTTGAAACATTTTATGGTTTCATGATCATGAAAAAGAACTTTAAAGCAGAATATACTGAAGGTGTGGTCCGAAACACCCTGAAAAGCTTCAACATGAACCAGAAAAATGCACAACTCTTGGCCGTTTTGGTTCTATTGAATGTTTACTGCAAGAGTTCCTCTCTCTCCGTGTCCTTGTGTGAGGACTTTCTTGATCTGCAACCAAAACCTGTTTGTGGAAGCATCAAAGTTGAAGATGGATTTGGGAAGTTTTCCAACTTGATTGGCATTTGTAATGTAGAAGGTATGGTGGTCTACAAAGCAGTTAAAATAATCCACTCAACTATTGCAAGGCAATGTTTGCAAGAACTGGCAGCTCACAATGTGACTAAAGCAGAAATTATTGACCTTCTACTGACCACAAACCAGCTTTATGAGTGCACACAAGGCAAAAGCAATCTCTTGGAAGATGTTCACTACATTTTAGTGAAACGAAACTATTCATTGGAAGAGGAATCCCAGTTCTCCCCTCTCATTCAAGAAATTGCCAAGGAAACATCTGGACAAGAAGAGATGGTTCTAAGAAATTCCTCAAAAAGATTTGAGAAAGATGCCATCATTTTTCAGTTGTTGGCCAGGTACTACTACCTAAAAAAGAAGGATTTTTCTGAGGCAAAGTTTTGGGCAGAAAAAGCAAAAGAGCTTTCCAAAGACAGCTCATATATTGCAGACACATTAGCACAAGTCATTAAGCATAAACTGAAACATGCAATCACAAACTGCAAGGATGTCGGCCCACAGGAATTGAATACTTTTCTCAAAATGTCCCAGTCAGCAATGGAAGCATTCCAGGAAGCACAAAACCTTGCGAAGAAGGAGTCCCTTCAACGACTAACTATCAAAACAGACAACTGTCCTTTCAATACTTCAGGATGTCTTGGAGAAATCCAGGTTGGACTTCTCCTCATTGACTTGCTAAAGAGGACCCCAGTATTTTCTCCAGACAGTGTCCGCCATGACATACTGAGCAAGATTCTCTCTGGAGAAGTTAAACTGGGGAGCATAGAGAGAAACGACCCCCGATGCAATAAGAACAAAAGCTTCTACATCATTCTGAGACAGTTTGAGGACGTACTGGAAAACCTGAAGTACAGGATGAAGTTAAACATTGACTACCTTGATAAACTTTACGTGAATCTTGGCTCCAGGTTTGGAGTGAAAGACACCCGTGAGCAAGTAGCCCAAAATGAGCTTTACAGATGTTTCAGAGAGTACACCAACACTTTTTGCAAGACAGAATCTGCTCATCTTTTGAAAAATAAGTTGATGAATTTGATGGTGCAAGTCGACCTAGCAAGGCAGTTCCTTGAGAGGGAAAAAGCTGACAGCTACTCTGGGATCCTGAATTTCCTGTCAAAGGAATTCTCAGCTGAAAGGATGGAGAAAGTTGTCAAGACATATCATTTTGTTTGCGAACCTCAGAACAATCCAACATCAAAGGAAAGAATCAACCTGATCTACGCCAATGTTGTGCTGAGTTGCATCAAACTGGGGTCACGGCTTTTGTACAAATACCAAGACCTGCTGAAATTCCTTTGCCAAGTCCTACATGAACCAACTCCATCCAATGAGAACTTGCCTCTGCTTTTCATTGCGGTTGTATTGATGTGGCCAACTTCACCAGATCTGTTGCACAGAGATCTGGGACGGTTCATCTCGCAGATGAAGACTGCTTATCACAATACCCTGAAAGAAGTTTACAATGGCAAAAGCCCCATAGTTCACTTTGTGTTGGGGAAAAAGCACGGCTATGAGCGACTTGTGCCTATTCGAGCAATCCAAAGTTGCATCACAGATGAACAGGAACAGTTTGCTTCCAGTTGGAGAAATGGTAAAATCTGGAAGGAGAAGAAGGTGAGGGAGCTCCTCCGTAGGGTCACAGGTACCGTGAACCGTGATTGGATACTGGCAGACACCTGCATCCGTGATCTGAGGCTAGAAGTGATTCCAATGTACCGAAGCCAGATCAGTGCATATGCTGATGGGTCAAAAGTGTCTTTCTTTCTTGGTTTCTCAATGAAAGGCCCACTGGCACTGGACATTGAACATCAGCGTTAGAGTCGCACTCAGACTGATAAACTCACACCTAAAGGTTTATTCTAGTAGAAAATATCCATCCATCCATTTTCTCCTGCTTAGTCCTTGTCAGGGTCACGGTGGGGCCCATCTCCGGCAGTCTATGGGCGAGAGGCAGGGTACCCCCTATCGCCAGGCAACGCAGAGACAATGACACAAAACCACGCACACACACCTAAGGACAAATTAGAGAATAGTCATGTTTTTGGACTGTGGACAGAAGCCAGAGTACCTGGACAGAACCCACGCATGCATAGGGAGAACAAGCAAACTCCATGTAGAAATACCCCGAACCGGGAATCTACCCCAGAACCTTGCCGCATGGCATCAGTGTTACCCACTGCCCCACCGTGCAGCCGCTAGTAGAAATGAATGCAAAACAGTATGTTTGGTTGATCATTGTACTGTAAGACAGCCTTTATATTGTGTAAGGGAAGCTACTGCTGAAAACTCATTTCTGTTGGGATTGCTTCAGATGTTTTAGACACTCCATCTGTTTTAGTGCTAAACAAGAACGCTTTAAGTGAGCCTCTAAAAATCATATTTCAGCATAAAGAACAGACTTTTTAAAAAATGATATCCTTCTTATCCTGTTAACTCCAAAGTTCTGTTGTAAGGTGCAGCTCTGTTCTAATATATTAAGCAGATCCGTTTCTATGTTTCCAGTGTTTTAAAGTGAAATGAAATATCCTTTATGTTCTGTATGAAGTCTTACCATTTAACTTTTATCATGTTGCCATTACCTGTAGTTTTGTATGAAATACGTTTCTTTTATATTTCTTGAAAAGAACAATATACGTGGATTTCTGTTTAATAACATTTTAAATAAAGATGCACTGAATTATGAAATTTGATCTATTCCATTTTGATCTACTTGCACTGATGCATCTGGTCCTAAAATGGAAAAAGGCATGTTGGTTTTATTTGAATGTCATGGCTGAATTTGAATGTTGGTTTTATGGGTGGTGGTCTGCTATCTATGGGATGTGGTCAAAATATTAGATTTCTATTCTTTCTTATTTCATATATTGATTTATACTATTTCTATTACAGAAAAATGTTTTCGCCTGCAAAGCCACAAAATGTCTGAGTGAAAAGTGTTTGGGACCAGTAATATTTTTTTCCCATAACAAGTCAGATTCTTTCTCAATGTGTATTAATAACATGTTATTGTTTAACCAAAGTGTCTGTAATCTGTTTTAACTCTGACTAATTTCCATTGTTGTAATTAAGGGAGCGAAACGTTGGCCGGATCAGAGCAGGGCTGATTACTGTGAGGCCTGTTGATGTCTTGTTCTCGTTTTACTTTGCAAATTAAAATAAAGTGCCGAATGAGTAAAATCCATCGATCTCCATTGATTTAACTTTATAGTTGAATGTTTTTTCACATGTCAGGGACCTGAAACTGCTGGTTTATTTCCATTTCCTGGGAAAGCCACCAGTCAGACCTCCACAGGAGCATAGTGAGTTTAGCTGTTAGTCTGTTCCGATCTTTCCCACCAGATGGCGCCACAGGCTCAGTGATGATACATTTGGATTATTTATCAATCACTAATCTAGGTTTTTAATTAGGTTAGGTCAGCTTTGTTCTTCTTTGCTCTATTCTGTAACTCAGCATTTTGATCGATGTCGTTAGTGAGCGTCTCCTGCAGTCAATCTGGGACTGAACTAAATATAAACAGGCGTCAAAACTATTCATGTTTAAGTCCAGTAAAAATCCTGCTGTTGAAAAACACTTTTATAGAAGTTAGAGGATCAAATTCAGCTTTTTACTCCAGTAAAAGTAAAAAAGTACCATTTTAAAAACTACTTAAAGTATAAAAGTAATGCAGGAAAAAACTTAAGGCCAGAAGCTTTACTGCTCTAATCTATTAAAGGAACATTTTCTACTATTCTGGATGATAACTTCCTTAGACATCAGGAGAAGAAATTAAAAAGTTATTTAAAGAATAATTAGTGCAGTAAAGTATAAATAGACAACATTTCTACTGAAGTATATTACATTAGAATGTTCAGGAGTATTCTAGTCAGATTATGATGATGATGATAATGCAGAGGTTTAGGAAATACCAAAAACAAAAGAAGACCAGTAAGAAGAAAAAGACCAGTGAGTTGGGGTGAGTCAATGTGTTTATTTTAATTTTAAAATGTAGACGAAAAGATTTTTCTGTTTTTGTTAATTTTGTTGCAGAGAGGTTGACAGTTTGTATCTATGCTTCTTTTTCTATGTCTGCTTCTGTCTCCTTGAACCCCAGTGGGCCTCAGCAGATGGCCGCTCACACTGAGCCTGGTTCTGCTGGAGGTTTCTTCCTGTTCAAAGGGAGTTTTTCCTCTCAGTCACGGTCAGAGAAACAGGACCACAC